AACATGGTTGGGGCTGGCAGCTTTGTTCTAAATCCATGTACATTATGATAATATACCTGGAGGTTCTCAGAAGATTGCCCCATTCTTAGATTTCTGACCTTGTTCTTGTGTAGTTTAAACACAAAGGAAGATCATTGACTACAGCGAGTATATCATTATTGCATTTGATATTTTTTTTGTGCGGTACCAGCTTCAGCGGCTTTTAACTGGCAACACACTTTGGACTAAGTTTGAACTTCAAGAAATTTAGATCTTGTTTTTGTGCAGTCTGGATCAAGCCAGAACAAAACCTGTTTTTAATAGAAATTTTCAGGAAAAACCTTAAAGTAGTTTTTTGCGAAAATGTTTCAAAAACTTATATTATGTTATACTTGTAATATTATAACAATCATTAGAAGCGTTTGTATCCACAATAATGGATTCGATTATAAAATACACCTGTAATTTAAATAGGAAAAACGTGCAAAATATTTTACAAAACATACATTTTTGAAAAATTAAAATATTTAATCAAATCTGCACAATGTCAAGTGATGTTTTATAATGTTTTATTCTATCTGTAGCAAAAGTTTAAAGAAAAAATTTGGAGTCTTTTTGAGAAAATTTTGCTTAGGTAGTTTTGGAACATAAATAAGATTTCATTAAAAATTACACAAATACTTAGAAACCTAGAAATAATCATCAAGAAGTCCCCAATAATTGATTATGTTAAGAACAAAATCTTTGGCTTCCAATACTGAAGGTTCCAAAAAAATTGAACATTGGTAATATTTTATCATTCAGACGTTTCAAATGAAAATTGGTCTTTTAACACTTTTAGATATGTGGCATTTGTATTCAACAATAATGTTTCTGCTGGTATTGAAATGAAATTGAAAATGTCATTTTATCCTTTTAAAGTACTCTTTAAAATTAAAATATTAAGTTTGAAATTGCTGGCCTCAATTGACACCACATTGACCACAAATATTCAGTTTCAAGAAAATCCTGCATATTATTTAAGCTTGTAAGCAGATGGCCAGAATTTTATTGTTTGAAGGAAATAGAAAGGAGGGGGGATCCAACTATTTTGGTGCCAGGGAACCCCCAAAACATGCATTTTTGTCAAAATCTCAACATCAATTTTTGCTACATTACATAACTTTCCCCATACTACGTATTGTACTAAAATACAAATGTATATAAGTAACACTTGGAAGTTATAAAAACGATGAATAAAATGATACTTTACCTCCCTTCCCACAATTGTTTAGAAATTCTCAATGAAAAGTTTCTCAAAGTAGCAACCCCACACACTTCAATAAAACATTGCATTAGCAAACGACTACAAAGATATTCAGGTTACTACAGAAAGCCAGTAAGATGATGATGATCGCAATTCTCCACGAAAAGTACAGAACACCGTTGCTCTCTAATAAAATAGATATTAGTAACATCCTCAAAGAATTGTTTGTTCTGCGTTTAGAAAACACCCACATTAGAATTTGCCCACATTCTGAATATCTTGTTTTTTGTTCTTTTCCTCTCTCTTCATGGGTTTAACTTGTACGAAAATTAACGAAAGTCTTTTACATAAGCAAACACTAGTTCAAGGCTTGCACATTAGGCAAACACTAGTTGTGGTTTGTCTTCCCCACTCCAACTTCCTTCTTTGTTTATGCAAGATAAAGAGGATAATAACATTCATAAAAAGGTTACAATAATAAATTTTTGTTTCTTGAATATGATATTGTTTATTCACAAAGAGCACTTCGTTATAATTATATACATTTGCTTACATTGTAGTTACAGTAATCCCTAAAATCCATTCAACATGACTATAAAATATGATTACAGATGGATATTACAAATATAAAAACAAATAGAAGGGAAAATACTAATGTTGTACAATTCTTGTAACAGTGAAATCAGCAATTACAAAGTGTTGCACTGATCACATTCAGTAGGAGAGAACACTGAAAAGAAGTGACTAGACAATTCATTATTGAAATATTGAAGACTCAAAAAAGGAGTTATGAAGAAGTATCAAAATAGGCACTTCTGAATCACATATATTCACAGAACCTTTGGTTTGTTGCTTCCCTCCTGAATTTACTGAAATGTTCCTGTACAAAAAA